TCGACTTCATAATGCACAGATATATAGAGTGTTAAATATATAAGTGTAAGTGTATATACTACATTATACCATACTTGTTCACTTATGTTAAAAATGTAAAAACTTGGGTAGATTAATGGATGGATGGATGGATATTTGACATATATCTCCAAAACGGCTTAACAGAACTCGATGGAAAATCCCCAAAGAAGAACATGGTATGTTCCTTCATATCATATAGACTATTTACTTAGTTTTTTATAAGTCGCGGGCAAAAGCTAGTAATGAAATATACACAACTGCTTAATTAGCTTAGGCTACTAGAGGTCACAATGGACTTAAAAATAGTCTTAACTTTCTGATGGAACCACGAAAGCAGGGTTAGATAATAGGCCGAATAAAACTTTTGAATACCAATTAACAATCTAGTACGAATCCGTTTTAGGGCCGATTGTTGATCACGTACAAAAACAGGCAAAGAATATCAATGAGAGTCGTGAAGTTGAACAAAACACGCAATGAGGTATTGTTTTGAGTGCATTCGATAAATGTTCGGAGTGAAACGACTATAGAGGGCAGCACGCGATCGCTATGGGAGCGACACGCGCGCGGCACTCCCACGACACGCGCACGACGCCCCTCTCCCTCGCCCTGTCTTGTGTAGACCCTAATGAAATCACCATAGATTTAATTCCTATAAAAATGAAATTAGTTTCAGTAACAAAAAAAGTACCGTTTTAACTATTCGGAAGATATCAATTCAAAATCGCTATAAAAAATCAACAAATTCCGACTCATGAGGATTTGTAAATTGTAAATCGTTAAATCTACAGGAAGTGATAATAAAGTTAACAAACCAAATGTTATTCTTGTCTGTTCTTAGAAAGTGATTCTTACTTCGCTATAAATAAATAATTAACTATCTATACTTAATCTATTACGAAATTATTATCCTCATGCAAATATTAAACATACCAGTTATTATCCTTTGTAAATAAATTGTCGTTATTATTTCTACTTTATCCTTAGATAAATATGTATTTTGAAACGTGCCTAAAATTAAATCATAATTTACCTGTTCTCGACTTTACGAGACTAACCATAAACGCCGTTTATGACACCTGTGTGAAATTAAAGACAGAAGTTTTTTCTTTTGCACATCCCTAGACAAGCAATAAAAGCACCTGACGAAATGACATCCTTTATGTTTTAAGAGCTTAAGGCGAATGCACACAATGTTTATGATGAAAGGGATAGTGGTACAAGTAAATTTTATTTTGGGTTAGCCTAGTCCGAGTTATTTTCTATTTAATTAGGGGATATATTCGACTGAGCTATTAAAAATACTTTCATAAGGTTTTGTTAAATTGTTTAGATTTAGTATTACATTATCATCTAAGATGAATAAAATGTCCTAATGCTTAGTTGGAACCTGTCGATATACTTCTCATAAATTAATCAGAACCAAATAATCTCAATATACAGGACACACAAACGTAATCATACTAATATTTTAAATATGCTCTTGTGGAATCTGAGGTACCATATTACCAATATCAGCCTACACCAGTTCTGGAAAATAGCCGTATCACGATCTACTGGGACCGATCTATTATTACGGACAGGACTATTGCTGCCAATAGACCTGATATAGTAATAATAGATCGGTCTGAGAGTTGTGTAATGTTAGTCGATGTCACTATCCCACATGACGAGAATCTCGTGAAAGCCGAAAATGAAAAGCTATTAAAATATTTGGATTTGGCTCACGAGATTACCGCCATGTGGCGTATGAAATCGACTACCATTATTCCGATAGTCGTTTCGGCACACGGGCTGATAGCGAAGAGCTTCGACCAACACCTCAAGAAGCTCTCGCTAGACAGTTGGATTAAGGGCCCGATTCAAAAGGCGGTTATTTTAGAAACCGCACGACTAGTGAGGAGGTTCCTGTCTCTGCAGCCCTGACCACTGGTTGCTTGAGTCATCGGATTCCGCAGCCGGTGGACTTACTATTTTTTTATATAATATGTTTTATTTTGTTATTTTTTTAAGAAAATCATGTGAAATGTATTATATATAAAAATAAGAGAATAAAGATATGAAGTTAAATACGAAAGTTTAGATGGATGTATGGATGTTTGTTAAAGTTTGTAGCCTAAACGACTGAACGGATTTCGATGAAATTTGGCATAGAAATAGAGGTTAGTCTGGTAGAAAACATAGGCTTTTTTTTTATTCCACGCAGACGGAATCGCAGGCGAAAGCTAGTTCTAAATAAATGTTAGTAGTTTTTTGTTTCTAATCGAATCCACTGTGCATACGACTTTATATTTTGACGCCGGCGTAATATTTTTTCTCGAGAGTTTTTATAATTGTTGTCGCCTACGTAACAATGGAGGTTACCTGTCTGTTAAAAACAATATTCCTGAACAAATTGCACGGCGCGGCGCGAGGTGGGTCTCAGCGATTATACAAAGGCCGGTCAGTACGTGAGCGGACAATGTATTCACAGGTAAGGCAAATTGTCTGCGAGTGAATCTAATTGCGAAGGTAGACGTGAAAACACGTTTTGACGTGAAATGGTCAAATACATCCACACCTGGCCAATTGTCCATTACATGCATGTCTATAGTTGCAAATATTCCATCCGTTTTACCGACACGTCCACGTTATTGTTACTTTTGAAAACTATTAGGACTATTATATTTTTAAAGTAAAGAGGCACTTTTCACGTCCTTATGTTAGAGGAAATTTAAGGTTTATTACTAGACATCGACTTCGCTTGTAATTTGGTGGATGTCGTATTCTAATTGTTTTCAGGAAAAAGCTTGACAGATGTTGAAAGTCAAAATAGTGGCCACCATTCTGACCATCACAGATTAATTTTTTGGCGTATGGACTTGAGATTTTAGTAGCCGAATTTATTTCAAAATAATGTTTTTGGAAAAATGATTTTTTTTAAATAATTTCATCTTGGAAGAATATTAGTAGTCTATAGACGAAGTATCATTAGAATTGATAGTTATTCCATGTGTGACCACAAAACATGAACCATGTCCAACTATAACTTGTCACCGCGCTCGCTGTCTACACGAATACCGGATCCGTGGGAACAAGAGTTTTATAAATAAACCTAGCGAAAGCTATCGCCCGCAACTCCATCCGCGTGGTATTGGAAAAAACAAAAGTGAACAGCCTATGTGTTCTTTCAGACTATATTCTACTTCTATGTCAAATTTCATCAAGATCCGTTAAGCCGTTTAGGCTACAAACTGAAACAACTAAACTTTCATATTTATAACATTAGTAAGATTGCAGACCTTATTTCATATAAATACATACTCATGATCTACGGCACTAGTTCACCGTTCGATCCAAAGGTCCAAAGGTAAAAACTCCCTTAACATCAAAGAACCGTATGATTTAATTATATTACATTGATCGTTACAATGCTAAACTAAATAAGCCTAAAGAGGATACGGTCGACTGTGACTTTTATTTTCACGAGTCAGTCTGTGTTTTTATCAAAAATTCGTCCCTCACTCAGGACAGGACACATCGAGGACCATTAAAATTATCCGGTCCAATTTATCAAATGGGCTCAACATTAGCGGGCTTGTTTTAAGATGAAGCAATCCACTACCTGAGGTTCTTTACTCCCGTCTTCAAGGTGACTCGTGACTTTTTGCCGACTGCGCCTTTTTTACGACTAACACTTTATTATTACGATTCGGACCTCTTTGTGTGGTCGTCCTGGACCTTTGTCAGGTTTGCGAAGTAAAAATAAACATGTTATTGTACTTTTGAATATAATTGTACAATCTAAATGATAACGAAGGTACGTATAATAACGAATCCACTAACCCACTAGGAAGAAGAAGAAGAAGAAGAAGAAAACAACTAAGAAGAACGAATTTTGGTATAAATCAGTAAAGAAGTAAAAGTGGTTAACGACTTACATACGAGAAAAATTTCTGAATAAGGCTTTGTTTAAATACTATTTATTTAATTGGAACATTATACCTAGTTATTTTTATTTCTCTTCAAATAGAATATTCTTATAAAAATTAAATAAAACTAAAGAGAGACCATTTAGGTACACTAATAACAATAAGAAATGTTACTTATATCCAATTATGTTTGATCTCCCGCGGATTGAGAACAGCCTCCGGACCTGTCGCGTGGGAGCGATGCAAGTGGATGCCAGCACGTACGGCCATTGTTACCCTGCCGTACCCTGCCTCCCTTTCCCTCCCCTGACTCCCCTGCACCCGAGCCTGTCCGATTGTTCAGACACGTAGATACGCAGAGCCTAAATGGAAAAACAAGAATAGCCGTAACATGGCCAACATTTAATCTCGATTGATGAATCATCAAACTCTTTGGTGTCCGCCGCACTGATTTGTTAATGTTCTTCTGTTAAAGTGTTACTATTTAATGCAATCAAAATACACCTAAGAGTCTAAGTAGGAAGGTTAGACAGTACACATACAGTAATTCATTATGAAATTACTTGAACCATAATTATTATCCTGGAATGTTTAGTCTGACTTTCATTGACTGCTCTAAGGCCTTACATTCCTTTTTTAATTAATTTTTACTCTTTAATCATCATACATCTGTATAACATACCATGCTAAGTTTTATTCTCGTGATTTTATTGACATTTAGATTTGTTATTTAGATTTGCTATATCCAAAGATCACTTTTAAATGTGTTATAGGTTCACACAATTGTTAGTATCAATAATTTTTTAACAGTACAAGTTCATTAAGAACAAAAAAGTTTTCTTTAAGAAAACATTTAGTAGTCTCAAAACAAACAAGCTCACAGGACAAAGTGCGTGTCATGAGCGCAACGGCCTTAGCCAGGGCCGGCGGCGGGCGGGCGGCGCGGAGCGGCGCGGCGAGCGGGCCACGGGAAAATCAGGCTTCGGCGCCCCCGCCCCGCGCGCCCATTGGCCGCAGCGGACCGCCCCGCGCCCCACCCGTGCACATAAATACCGCGTCGCCGCGCGCATCTCCTCATTCCTCGCTCATTGCTCGTACGTAGCTTACGCGTTTCGTGTTACGTTATACCAGTGTACGTGTTCAGTGACCCTCGAGATGAAAGCCATAACGGCGATGTGCGCGACCGGAGCCTCGGTGCCAGCGATCGCAGGCGGTCGAGTGCAGCGGCACCGCGACGGCGAGAACGCAGAGATACAGATGTACCTTTCCAAGCTCCAGGACTTGGTGCCCTTCATGCCGAAGAACAGGCGTATCTCAAAGCTGGAGGTGATACAACACGTGATCGACTACATCTGCGACCTGCAGTCGGCGCTTGAGAACCATCCCGCCGTTGGGCAGTTCGACGCAGAGGCCGCGCTGGCGCCCTGCTCCCCAGCACCAGCTTCCGCGCCCCGGCCGCGCCGTCGCCCGCTCGGTGTGCGCTCTGCGCCTAACACAATCCTGAGGACGCAGCCCTCGCAGCACCACTCCACACATACGGTAAGTCAATCAAATTTAACTGGAACATCTTACCATCATGATTAATCATCCTTCAGATGCTCATAAATCGTATCAAAAAATCAAGAAAGTAATACACAAACACCATTAACGACTTGGCTTTGTCATTCACGATTTTTACTTGTAGGAAAATTTAATTTATATAAAGATTTGTGGCGCGACGCACGAATAGACACTATTGCATAAAAAGTAAATGAAATCGGCCGTGTCGATGTTTTTGCGGCGTGCACCTGCGCGTTTCGCAAGCACGGGAAGGTAAGAGCGGAGATGCTGAGTTTCACAACACGTGGCTACGCACAATTTTAGTTAAATCGTCACTAATTAACTTTATTATGTCTTATTAATTAAGGAAAACAAAATCTGACCTCACAAAAAACTTGTAGTATTGTTAGATTTTAAAGCAACAGTAATTTGCTTTCGCAAATGAATGCGAGTTGAAATCGGTATGATGTTCTGATTGACAATTGTTGAATATTTGATTTGTTTGTCCGATTGTGGCTTACGTCATACCGTCGTGAAATCAGCGGACTCCGGTAAACAAGCGGGCGCATTATAAACCGCTAGGCGCGCACGCGTGACGACTGCTTTGAATTTCAGCCTTGAAACGCGGCCACCTGCGCCGGCGCCGCGTAAACGACCATGTACCGACATACAATCTGAATATTCAACGACATATTTATTTTGCCTCGTTCAACATTCCGTTTCACACCTGCGTGGATTCGTTTCGTCATTCGTTCACTATTAATGTACTGTCAAAGTTCATTTCCGTGCAATCGAATATACGAGTGCACAGGCGGGCGAGGCGAGCCGAGACCGTCCGGTGTCGGCGGGCCGCGGCAGGTGCATCCCGCAGGATTTATTCGTCCACACGGTCGCCGCCGCAGCGCTCGTACTGTCTCGCCGTAAATTTTAATCACTGCCAGTTGTTGCAGCCGAGGGAAGTGTTCAGAACGGTGATTTAGGAGACGCGAGCCGCCACACTAACGTTACTTCTGCATGACTGTCGTTGCATAAATCGTATGCAATAGTAATTTTACTAACGAGCAATCAAAGTAAAGAACCGTATATAAACACATGTGTATATAATTCATGTTGTTAGTCATTCGGAACTCTTACGACTTTTTGTTAAAAACCGTTGTTACTTGCAGCTTTGTAGACGTCCGTTTCGAAGCGGCCGGCTAGTTACTGATCACGTGCAATGCAACAGCTGCCGGTAATTGTCAATTACCTTTATCCTTGTCCGATGTATTGAATTGCTACCGTTCTTACTAACGCAACAAACTACTTTAATTATCATGACTTATACATCTTTGTGGCACGGAAAACACGATTTAGTCTCCGGGCGCCTAGACTATTTACTAATACAACGCCTACACGATACAGGAACCGTTGGAATGTCGATTAATGTGACTGCATTCCAGAATACTTAACATAAAATCTCGCAAGGACGCCAGCGCTCTCGTATAATTTGATATCAGACAACGAAACGAGTTGGAAAAAAGAACAAAGCCTTGGCGCAATCGTGCCGAGCCGTCCGCGTCGTGCCTCGTGAAGCGGCGGCGAGCGGCGGTATCTCCGGGGGCATCGGCGCCCGCGCGGTCACGATACTCGACGAGTACTCTCACGACTCTGATTGCCCCCTGCACCTTCCCATATAATTCTCATACGTTGCATCGTTTAAAACATTCTCAAAGAAGGCGAAGGCATTAAGATTTCATTAAATGTCTTGCTCCATTTGACCTTTACCCTTCACGATTTCTAAATGTCAAATATACTCCCTCGAGAACTATCTTTTGCCTTTTCGTCCTTACCATAATAAGCGCTGAGTACCCACTTTAATCGACACGCTTTAGCGTTTAATCCAACCAAACACCCTTTTATTGTCAACTCCTATTGTACTGCTACCCCAATAATAATTTCGTTCTCAAAAACTCATATCGATGCGACTCGCTCGAACATGAAGCCGAAGAGTTTTTAGTTTCTCCCATCGGTCGTGCCATCTGATTCAATAGCACTGAGTCATCCAATTACTGCCCGCATGGCGCCTTTCGAAATCAATTAAGAAACCCCAAGAAACGAAGCTTCGTTTGGCCATAAATATAAGGCAATTTAATAAATAAGTTAGGCATGGTAGCGTCGGTCGCGTATAGGAACGAAGCCAGATAAATGTATCCGTGGAGCCAGTGCGCCTACGCGCGAGACCCCGCCGGCGACAGTAACGAGCCGCCAGGTGTCCGCGCCCACGCCGCCGCGCCGCTCCTCTCCACGTCTTTGTCTCCCCGTAGAGCGCATAAATCGCGCGCGTGAAAGTTTTACGATTACCTTTACGCTTCTCCGAAGTGATAAACCGTGGCAGCAGCGTAGACGTGGTTGAATTGCTCGGCGCGACCGCGGCTTTGCACACGTGCAGTGATTTCGCCGATCGCCTGGATTCCTTCGCCGATCGATTGCGGCCATTGTGCGGGTAACGGTCGCTCACAGCTGCGCTGGCGCACGTGGTGGCGGATAGCTAAGTAAATGCGACGCACCTATTCATTACACGGCCGACAATGCTCTTCTCATAAAGGGATTTCACGTGTTAGCTCTCGCAAAGTCTCGCTTTCGGGACATGTGTGTGCCCTCCCTGCGACGTGTATCCGTAAATAGGGTGTGGCCACGTGCGGCCGCGCGGCTGCGGCGCGGATGTGTGTGGACGGGAAACGGTAATCTAACACTTGCCGATACTCGGAAAGCTGCAGTGAAATTGGCAGCCGAGTACTAATCGGCCGCGGCTCCATCGCGCTGGAGTGGCTATTAGACCAATTGGTCGCGATGCCCGCACACAAATTAGGGTAGCGATCAACCAGGGCATCGTATGTACTCTAATGAATTAAAAACGGTGATGAAACAGCGCATATGCGGTGACAGATGGCCGGACGCGGACGGGCGGGATGCGTATGTGGCGTCCGATTATAGTGCCCGTCACAATCACTGACTGCGACGCTCGAGGGAATAAAACTGTAATTGGACATGATTTTATAAAATATGGCGAATTAATTTTAAACTAACTAAGCTTCAACTTTCTTTGTTACAGACTCCTGAGAAACAAGACCAGCCGGACAGGCCGATGTCGTGCTAAATGACGCTTAGGTTAATAAGGACATTATTATTTATGGTGAAACGTGAACGTCGAGGGACGAAGCGCCGAGGGCCGGGGCGGACCGGCACAGCGGCGGCCCCGCGCCACTTCCAGTGAACATCGTCTCGCGATGATATCCTAATGCGATCTCGTTACGATCAATAAACTACGTTAATTTAATTAATCTGTGGCATTACACGAAGACTTGAGCATTGCAATGCAATGACGGCGGTTGCGGCCGCTTGTTTTGTTGATAGCCTTTCTTTTTTTGTACAAAGCTTTACTAGTTCTTAGAGGGATGGACGTAAACAAATTTGTAAATATGGAGTGGTTTGTGGAACATCTACAGTTATCGCCACCTATATATCGCTATATTTTGTATCAAACAACAATGAATGTAATCTTGAGGACATATTACGAGTATTATGTACATGTTTAGTATGTTTTATTTTATTTTCTATTTAAATCACTTCTAGGTCTTTAGTTTCTAAACGATGCTTCCATTTATATCAAAGACGTGAATCGATTTAAAGTCGATTTACTTATTATATTATTTAAGTTGATTAAATTCACGAGTGTGATTTTGCATGGCGATTTTGTTGCTATTAGAGTTATAGGATTATTTGTATGCTAGTGCTGGACGCAAGAGTTCTTTTTTAACTTAAATCTTGCGCCGGGTACGAGTACTGTACATATTGTATGTAAAGTGAAGAAATTAATGATTATATAAAAAAAATTAAAGGCAAATTATCGATTTGAAACTATTATGATTTTATTTTGAATTTAAGGGAAAAATGCTTTAATTATCTTATATAATTCTTATTATGGCGTATTATGATTTTAATAGACTGTTATAGTTTTAGTTATTGAATGATGCGTAGCGTGTCGGGCAAATTGTATCGTTGAAATGGTCGGGTGTGATGAGAGTGGTAGGCTGACCTACGCCTGCCACCTCACCATCGCCTCACCACAAACACGTCACAAACTGTATATCTGTATAGACGATACTTTACGATTCGTTATCAGTAATTTCATCTTTGTTTCGATTTTGAATCTTTGCACTGATTTTTTACAAATGAAAACTACTATATTAATCAGAACATCTAAAAATAAAAAAGTATTTAAAATTATATTTATTGTTTCTATTTATGACTAAACATTTGTCAACCCTTTCCATAATTTATCCCTTCTTTATGCCGTTAACATAAAAAATTAATATTATTGATGATTAAAAATATACAGACGAATTGAGTACCTCCTTCTTTTGGGAAGTCGGTCAAAAGGAACAGAAGGTACCCATGGAGGTAGTACATACAATAATGGAGCTATGACATCTCTGAGAACACTAGTTTCCATTTAAATCTACAAAATCCTTATGCCAGAGATGACAATAAAAGGAATACAAACTTTTGAAAAAATGAACTAAGCTCTAGTACCTGCCAAGGATATATTGAATGAAAGAATTATTTAGTACTTAGAGAACATTTAGCAGAAACTTCACGTCTTGTGTCCGATCTCCGTGCAGGTCTAAGAAATGTACTTGCAATATCGGAGATAATTTAACACATTACCAAATCTAGTCTAAACTTATTGTTTAATTCTAGAATTCTTGTCTATTCGCATAAGTCTCACAACGAAATTGGGGCCTTCGTAACGGATGCGGTGATCACGCGATTGCATCACGGCCAATTATCGCGACTACAATATTTGGTCAGCTGCGAGCTTACTTTACACTTCAGTATCCCCGTTGATCTTAAATGAATTTTAAACACATGTGGAATACGGTTCAAAATAGCTTTCAACCTTAAATTGTTGATATCAAAAGATTTCAAACTTTATTGCATTGGTATAAAGTTCAAAAGCAAAAGTCAAATGATTCGCTACAACACAAATTTACTCGCCAAACATTAACTCAACGATGTTAAAACGTTCAACAATACAGCTAATTATCAAGGTGAACGGGTGAAAACAAAAAAGAAGGGGAATTAGTGGAAAAATAAGGCATTACTAGTTTAAAAAATGTATTCGCGACCCTGCCAGGATTCGAACCTGGAATCTTCTGATCCGTAGTCAGACGCGTTATCCATTGCGCCACAGGGCCTGTGGGAGCGTGGCGATATTTGCAGTACACTATGTTTTGAATACTTTGCATAAATGTTGATGTCAATTACTATAGTTTCTACTTACACATTTATAATGTCCATCAATGGTCAAATATAAATTTTGAATCAAATAACACTTTCGTGACACTTCAAGACTAATGTTTCTTTTTTTATTGAGGTTTGAATTCTTCCTTATATTTCATCTCTACTAATACAACATTTCGAATAAAGGCACTTGATTATTTTTAGATATTTTAAGCCAAAATTAGAATTATTCTTACAAATTAACAGATTTATTAACTTGAAGGGCACGCCCGAGTACCATATTTTTTTTTCTTTTGTTTTTTTGATGACGATGATTTCATAGGCTATTACAAGTGATAACTAACAGCTTATTGTTAAGACGGTGACGAATATGCTTAACGCTTTTACACCTGGATGTACTTAAATTATCAAATTGTAAATTGTATAATAGTGCTCACGCAGTTGTTAAAAATACGTTTTTTAGGTTCATTTGCAAAATAAATTAAGTGAATTGTTAATTAACTTAAATAAGAATTGTTAAACCATAGAAAATAACTTGTTAATCCAAAAAGAACTTATTTATGGTGTTTTGATTATTATGATAACTGTATAATTATTGTATCGATTGATATAAATCACCATAAATATTTTACGATTTAAAAAATATTAAGCAACTAAGACTACTTCTTGGAAACCAATTTTATTTAACTATAATCTTAGATGTATTCCATTAAATCCAAATTAAAAGGTTTTGCATCAGGTTATTTAGTGTATTTTCGTAGTTTTATCTTTTAGTAGAATGAAGGAATCTAAGATTACGCGTGGTGTACCGCAAGCCTTATCATTGTGATAAGGCTACACAGGTGTGGCCGCACCGAGCGCCGGATGCCGCGGTGCACGACTGTACATGTGTACTTGTTGTACTCATCACGTTGCATAGCATATGCAGACATTAAATAATTTTAATAAAATATATTACGTGTCAAATTTTCTTCCTAATAAATAAATAGAAAAGTTTGGATGTATGTCTGTTAAGTATTTCGTAATTCCTAAAAGAATGAAAGATTTCTACAGCAAAAGATTCCTTACCTTTATTAGGCAAAGAAAAAAATTGAAAAAAGATTTATTCAACACATTCTTTTATAAATAAAGAGGCTAGGCATTTCCTTCTTCTAAGTTACTAACTCTAAATAGCTGTTGTATTAACTAACATACGCACATTTATAATGAAAAAAATCTTACAAATCAAAACAGGTAGGTAACAGTTCTAACGGCGGCGGCACAAGGATGGTGTCGTATTTATTTATAAAGTAATTTCTTAGCAGACGATAAGGGCGCAGGTGTTCACAGGTGCGTTATCAGAGTCGCTTCGCGCCTCCGCCAAGGAATGAGTACGCTAACCAAGTTAGCGGTTCACTGTTAGTACTTGCGCACTCAAATTCTCCATCAAGCAGATTATCAAACTGCGCAAGTGATAAGTTAAACAAATATCGCCTACGTACACATAAATATTTTTACAGAAAAACTGAAACTAAATATGTACAAATTATGTATTATATGAATAATGAATGAGTTTTTTTCATATTCAAATAGTTGATTGTGAAATTTTTAAAACCGTAAATGTAAACTCTATTAAAAACTACATAAAAATGACAAGCTAGCTGGCTGTCTATAAGAAATGCAAATAAATTCATCTCTGTAATGTATACTTATAGATTTACTCACATTTGCTACGGGTACACTAACTGACCAGTACTGGTTTAGTCGATCCGGAAACTGAAGATTTTGCCTTTAACTGCTAATCACGGTTATCGCAATTAAAGGAGTCGTTCGCAAGGCGAGTGGACAGGTGGTGCGGCAGGTGTTTGCACCGGCCAGTGTGTGCGCACCGCCGCTGATAACACTGATAACAGGTAACGTAATCATAGTGCAAAACACTTCAAATGTGACTGATATCGAATTAGCGACAAGTTACGGTTCCTCCCGTTATAATTACAAGTCCATAGCTTCTTGTTACTTGCTTTGAAATAAGGCTTGAATACACATGGCTATAGTTGCATGCATAAGCATATAGTGTACATTTATATCTATACTAATCTTATAAAGAGGAAAAATTTGTATTTTTGGATTTTTGGTGTATTGATATAACTCAAAAACTACTTTGCCGATTTCAAAAATTCTTTTACCATTAACAAGCTACGTTGTCACTGGGTAACACAGGTTAGATTTTTTTATTACTTTTTAACTAAACGTGGGCGAAGTCTCGAGCAACAGCTAGTACCTTATATTAACAAGTAGATATCACGAGATTTGAATTTATGATAGTTATGAGCTTGCAAAATGACGAAGTCGTCGAAGGGATTACGAAGTTTAACACTGACGTGCTGTCGCGTAAATTTACAAGGAATTTACTGTTAAGTACTTGAAGAACAATATTACCAAGCACGCTATTTGATGATCATTTACAAACGTTCTAATCTGGTATAACTATTTATATTACCTTGACAGATTGATAATAAACTAATTAACTATACTAAAACATTTATTAATTTTAAAATACATTTAAAGTTAAGATCAATTATTGTATAACAAATGGCCTTCAACTAATTTTTTTATCAGGCTCAAATCCGGCAGCAACTGAACTTTGGCCTCAAACCGTTTCAACATTGACAAGTATGAAGTTAAACTAGCACCAAGGAATAAAAATCTTTTTAACCTATGTTATAACGTGTGTGGGCAAAAATTGTCTTGTTCAAAAGCATCATTCATACACTTTAGCTAGTCACCATTTTTTTCTCCTGTAAACAAAACAGTTTTAAACAAGACGTCCAAAATTAAAACAACTATCTAATATCAAAATAATTGCGTATAAGGTGACGGTATATGTATTTAATATTGTTAATTGTTACAAAGACAATGAGCTCCACGTTGCAAGAATTACGAAACGTTGAGCAATGTTTGTCGAAAGAATTGCAACAAGAAACCGCGAATTGTTGTAAGAAAACGCAACTAGGCAACGCGGTTATGTTAACCATAACAATGCACCGTTCTAAAGGTAAGCATTCACTAAAGAGAAGCAGCGATTAGCGGAACTATAACTGTTAATCTAATGATTCTAATGACTATGAAACAAAATAAAATTAATCTGACAGAATGTAAGTACCTATTAATTCCTTAGGAAACACTTATGACAGCATAAAAACAGTAGAATTTATGGTCTGGTTATTATTCCATTGCAATGTAAACACACCCTTAACCGCAAAACATCAGAGTGGCGACGCGACGTAATACAAGGCACGCAATCCGCGACAAACAATGGGCTCAAAGCATTTGCTCATACGTATTACGTTGCTTAATTTCTTGGAACATTTTATATCGGTTTTGATGTATAATTTACAAACACCAAAGGCCCTTCTCAACCCGTGTTGTGTCTATCTGCTCGGTTGGCGCCAATTTTATTATTTTTTAGGAACCATGAACATGAGAGGTGTACCCTTATGTTCTGTAGTTGTCTTCCTACTAATTACTTCAACTACGTGGCTATTTATCAAAACAATAACGAGGTGAAATATGACTTGTATCTTGAAACGTTAGTTTCTTCTACTATCAGACTTGTGTGAAGTTAACGCTCGGGATTAGATCTGTTGATAAGACTGCGTGAGTTTATACTTTATGTGTGTGTTCAATTTATTTTATCAGTCAGGTGTTTGCACGTAGGTTGCACCGAATGGCCCGCATCGTCAACTTACATCGTAGATCGAGTGCGATATTCATTTGTTTTTTTACGTCGCATGATAACATTTGAGATATGCGATATACGTTTAATATCGCTTTTTTATAAAAATAATCAATCTAATTAATCTATGATGTCAGTTATTGTTTTTAAACTTATTTTTATTTTTACTACCAGTTGTTTTTAAGAATGTCAAATATTAATATCAAATGTGAGCTGTTAGTAATATGTTTTTGTATAGATATAAGACAGTGAAACCTCAAAGTCAGTAAGTAATTTATAGTTCGGTAAATGAAAATAATGTCAGTAATGGCGGCTTGTTGGGGCGCGTCAACCTAGTTAACCTTTCACGCTACGTACTCTTTAATTATTCACTCGACAGTTTATTGTGTTCGATACAAAAACTTGTCAATCCGGTAATTTTCCATCGTCTGTACTATTTTAATATATAACATGAACTACATTTTTGTTTATAATTTATTACAACGCTAAATGTTTCTTTCCCAATGTAAGAGCTTTTATTTTATTTGTTACATAGATAAACCATTTTTTGGTTACCTTGTATATTTTCATCAATCCCGAAGGGTTACTTTTTATTTACCATCTTTTTATATTCAATAACAGTAAATAGCGGAAACGATATACAGAATTGTATTCAATGCAAGTCGTTCCTAAAGGTCAAAAGGCGGCAACACGAAGAAGGCTTTAAATATTCAAAGGGTGTAAAGGGCAACACTGCGCATATTTCCCCGGAGACTCCGGAACCCCTTACGTTTTATTATCAATACAACTCTCTTATTATAAATTTCTAATATGACAAAAGTTCATGGTTGTCAGTTGTATACTTTTGAATGGTTAGAAACTTACTATTGAAGTCTTTCTCCGTATTATGGAAGTATTAAAAATGTATGTCGAAGTGGCTAATTAGAATAGTATCAAACATTTGAACGTAAAATAATATAGTTAGTTAAGTTTTCCATCAAATATTCGGGAATATTCGGGCGTCTGCGACGAGCGGGACAAACTACGAACAAAATCACTACATTGAGCGAGAGAAGACCGCGCGGGGCGACGGGCGGGTGCGGCCAGCGGGCGCGGCGGGCGGCCGCGTTGCGCGTCAGGCGTCCGCGACCAGCGGCAGAGTTCAAGCGTATTCATGCAACCAGTGTTTTAATCTAAAGTTACATTTTCTGCACAATAAACATGCAAAATATCGACACGGAGACCTTCATAAATGTAATTAGAAGTTACCCTCCCATTTGGTGTTCTACAAATGCACAATATAAAAATAAAAACGTATTAAGAAAAAAGTGGGATGAAATAGTGAAGCTATTCCCAGGATCAAAAGGTATTTATTAGTGGTTTACTGAATTAATCCCTAAATGCACTAGAATACCCTGCTTATTAATCAGTTTATGTCAATATGTAGTTAAGTAGGTAGCTAGTTTACCCATTGCTTATTATTGGTATTATAAGTTATGCTACGCAGGTAAGAGCTTATACCACAGATAATAAAATACTATACTAGAATAACTGAGGCAACAATTATCAGCAACTATAGAGTTTTTTGACTGAGAAATGAGTTTAACAATGTTACATTATCAAGTTTTATTTTTACAGTGGCAGACTTAAAAAAGAAGTGGAAGAACCTACGAGACCATTATCGTAAAGAATTAAAAAGGTGTGCAGTTAGCTTATCGGGGGATCTGGAAGAAGAAAGGTACGACTCTAGTTGGAAATATTTCAACAATATGAGCTTCACTAAAGAGGAGTTAATGCCTGTAACTAACGAAATCAATATTAAACAAGAACCGGATAGTGAAGATGACAACAGTGTCAGCGCAGAGGAGGATTCCACAGAAACAAGCGTAGGGTGTAGGCAGGACGTTGACACTGAACAAACAGTAACTACAGAAAGTAGGAAACGTGCAGCACACGACCTTAGACAAGAATATTTAGAAATCGAGAAGAAAAAATTAAAACTACTCGAATATGAATCAACACGGCGTGGAACAGATGAATTATCTAAATCACAGGATTACCATTTCTTAATGAGCCTTTTGCCAGAAATTGAAAAACTACCAATTGCAAACAAATTTAGATTGCGGAACAAATTTAATGATGTGCTTCTGGAGGAGTTAAATACTATTTTTATTAGTCCACATTATCAGACTAATTAAAGGAAAATTGTTAAATTGATATTCATTCCTAAAAATGTTGTAAGAAGTATGAGATTACATTGATTATACTTAAAGTATTCGTTTTATTTTTCAAAACTTTCCTTGATATTCTCTTGATAAAAGAGTTAACAGTTACAGAGAAAAATACAAAAAGTTGATTGTTTTGCGCCACCGCACCCCTCCCCTGCTCCGCTGCCAGCCGCCGCTAGTAGCCTCCGTTATACACAGTCGCTTTATCGTAGCCAGTGCTACTGTCATAATGGGTATGTGTGACGGAAATGTTGCCGCTCACTTGGTGCATAGTGCATAAACTGCACACGTACCAGTACCGCTACTCTTATTTAAAGTTCTTGTCCCATTGTTGCCACCCAGAGACTGTCTGTCGTACACAGAATTGTTAAATGATATCGCTTAGTGTTTATTTAGTACGAGATTTCTACACTAAGGTTATCGTTAGTACATTATGTAATAGGACCCTTTATCTCTCGGACCTTATCCAACAATAATTACTGACCCGTCCAGGTTTTCTACGACCATTGGACAAGTATACGCCTCATGCACGTGCAAGTTCATACTACATACTGCTTGAAATATTACAAGATGTTACAATTTAATACGTTTTAATTTATTTAATCGCCGCTGCGTGTACACAAATCAAAGTGAGTCGCGTACCAGCTGAGCTGACACGACGTGTACGCACTGCGGACGGCCACCACAATAAAGCATACTGCAATCCTCTTGTTTCTAAATATAAAACGCTTGTTCACTCGTTTGCCATTTGTTTTGTCGACTATTAACCGCAGCGCTGACGAAGAGGTTATTTTTTTCGTAAATACACTTACTTCAAGAAATCCTTTGTGACCTTTTCATGTCGACAACCAATTGCGTATCATCGTATCTATTAAACAACTTCTAATTAGAATTTTGTATTTCAAATTTTACAAACGTATGGTTATGCAATTTGGTTAGTATCCTTCACTCCATTAGATAAATAGTTTAGAATAATTAAATTTCGAACACATTTTTATAACTAATTATTTTACGGCTATAGGGAAACTTTCGGTGCCGTCACCAAAAAATAGACGTGAGTAATAGCCGTAAAATAATTAGTTAGTTTAGTATATTTACCCAATAATATTATTACTCCCAAATCAGTACGTATGATTGGCAGTATTAATTTCGAATCAGCAATAATCGTCTGCACATCACATAAAAGTAAGTTGTTATTTCTTAGCGAATTTCTCAGTAAAAATTCTTAGACGTGTAATAAATGTTCGCTACGGTCATTAGCGGCCGCCCCGCACCTGTCACTTCAGATCCGAAACGAATTTAAAGTGACCGCCTTAAGAATTCACCACTTCACAACCAACTAAAATAGATAAGGCCATTGCTTACGAGCGGTGATTAATTTCGCAGTTAAACACACGCGCGTGCGTATCTCATAATCATAAAACAGCACTTGCCGGTCAGCCACGCCGCGAGGATTTCTCGCTCCATTTATTTTGTTTTACGTCGAATTGCAGACTAGTAAATGACCTTACGTCTCATCTATTATTCGACTAAAGATAGAGCATACATATTCTTTTTTTGTAAAGGTCAACAACTTACCTGTTTACAAGCAAAACAAGTGATTGGTGTAAAGTTGTTAAAAGATTGTTTGGACACAAGCTCGTGTAGCAGTCGTGGCCGAGCGGTTAAGGCGTCTGACTAGAAATCAGATTCCCTCTGGGAGCGTAGGTTCGAATCCTACCGACTGCGAATTTCCTTTTATTTTAATTTTTTTTCGTAAAATAAGCATAATGGCACTTTTAAGTTTTATATTAAAATATGTTTTACTCCAACAACAATGAAGCATATTTCATTTGTATTTTTGTTAATGTTTTTTAAAAGTGTAGACCTTCAAGGCTGGTCAGTTGTAACAGCAAGACGCCAGTTAAATAAAGAACAACAAAAGCCGTCGTCCCACGCAATGATCGGCGGGAAGATGGCCGCTCATTACGGCGAGTGCACGTGCGTTGCCTCCGGCATCCGACGCTTTTATCTGCACCACTTAGGGTTGCTCAAAAATATAGAATTCTTTATATTTCGCCTCCGTTATTTTTTTTTTCTACCAAATGTATTTCAAGATTTGACAACAACTGCGATAAATTAAATACTGAAATTGGATAAGAATAAATGGAATATTAAAGTATAGAACGATTAATTGACAGGATAGACATTGCAAGTAATATTTCATCGCTGATATAAATTAAAAAAAATTGCACTAAATCAACAACACAAATCAAATTTACACCTAATTGGATGAAGCGATGAGGAAAAGGAATAACAATGTATTTGTATATGAACACAATTTGTGCTCGAAACGAAACACTAAACCGCATTAGCTTCGGCCAACTGGCACCCCTGAGGAACGACTTGCCGTCATGGGATTCAGAGTCCGTACCAGGGATTTAAGGTTTCATTACTTTGGTGAAAAGACCCTCCGTATACCCTTCTCGGAGCCCCTACTATTTCCCGGTACAAGATAAACTTCGTACGCTCGCATTACATAATGCAAATTCGAGTAATTGTTTCACAATTTGCATTTAAATCTTGATTTTATGCGGTAGATGTTATGTATACTTTTTATATTTTAAATGAAGAGAGATTTAAGATATAACGACTAACATACTTTACTCAAAAGTTTCTATCAGTAGATATAATATAAAATTTTAAAAGATCTTCACGACTAGTGTATGGTGTATTACGAATAAAATATCTGAATTACCTAAGGTGTTCTTAAAAACGTGCTTATTGACTTCAAACATTTTGTATCTTAAAAGTAATTGTTTTTATTTTTTTTTTTGTTTTCAAATAGATTATTTCAGTACTGGATGAATTGATAAACCTTATCGACATATTAATCAAGTTCCTTGCAATACCAGTTTTAATGTACGGACATCGTAAACAAAATAATTAAAAGCCGATTTATTTCACAGATAGCAAGGTATATAAAATAATAAATAATGATAAGCTTTTATTCTTGATAAATATACTGGTAAAATTTCTTACTAATAATTAATTATAAATGCAAAAATGTACGAAGTAATCGGGATGGGAGAGATTACTGCTTGAAATAGGCTAAGTTTTTAATTCCTCGCAGTAAAGTATAGGTAAACGCTAAATAAATTAAATTTTTTTTATTTGAACAGAATAATTTCACTTTCACTGATAACGTATATTCATACAAATCGCCAGTTATTTTGTTATTTAATTTAAGTGGCATGTAAAATTTTATAAACAAAAGCATGCATGTAAGCATATTATATAACTAAGTGAAACGAAAATCAAATAGGCTAACATAGTTAATTTACTTTCGAGTTATTTGTGAGATAAGAAAAGCTATCGTGATTCCGTAGTACTGCGGCGTTTTCCCCAACAGGGAAATAAAAGCTATGGAGTCAAATGCGGAGGCTGGGGGGAGGGTAGCGAGGCGAGACCTCTAATGTACAAATATTGCGGACCAAATGAATATATTCGCCTCCCCTGTAACATAGGGCGAAACAAGTGTACATTTTGATTAAGTCACCAAGCGATATGAATTTATTGGAATCGTAAAGCGACACGACAAGATAATTAAGAAAAATGCACTGACATTTTCTTATTTTTGCGTAATTTTTTAGATAAACATTTTATAGAGAAAGTAAAAACTGAAACCTGTGAAACTTTTCTTTTATGTAACTTTAATCTTCTTATATAAGTTTTAAATGCCAAAGAATGTATTATTTGTACTAATGAAGATACTTAGTGTATATTTCGTAGTGATACTTGTTTCTGAGTCCAAATTATTTGTGTGACAATAAATCACATATTCTGTGAACATAAACGAGTTAGTCGTGAAGAGATCTAATTTAGGTAAAAAGTCATGTGCGTTTGTAAGTCGACAGTTGTTCGTTTTCGAGGCAATCCCGTATCCAGCCACGTCCCAAGTGTCCCGCTAATACTCCATATGGCGCAATATAAAGCGCGATGTACAAACCATACCATAAACAACCAATACAGAATGACCTGTGTAATCCGTAGTTAGAGATCCCCTAATTCCGGTTTACCGAAGATTGCGGGGGGAGCGGTAGATCATGTTGCACTGGTCTATTATTCATAGTGCTGGAAGGGCGGAAAAGTTGATGCAACGACATGTGCATGCATTAGGGACGATGCGACAACCAGACACCAACAGCTCGGTTCTATTAACATTAACAACTGGCCCGCGCCTGTACCCGTATTCCAGTTATTATAACTGATCACTGTAATAAAAAGGGCTTATTTGGACATAGATAACCAACAATTTATATTTAGTACAACAGTACTGCTACGCTTTAATAAATTTTGAGCCAAAAACTTAGTAACTACTGAACAAGGTTAAATAAAAGGTTAGTATTTACTAAAATATGTTTCATTGCCATAACTTCGAGTAGGATTTTGATCAGTCTAATCAAGAAACTTATTTTGAAATTACACAACTAAATAAACACCGGTAAGATGTTGGCTCCTGTTGAATTTCTTACCACGTAAATTGCTTGCTCTTTTACTTCACTGCAACACTTTAATATTCACACATTTAAGACTACATAACAATCAAATCTCTGCTTACATTCACAGACAATATTGTATACAATTGTCGAAGCAATGCAATGGGAACAGCCGATCGCCGGTGTTTGCGTTTCTCACGGACTGCCCACGCAATTCTCACCTCCTTTGCTCACTAAACATAGCTTATAAAAAGCAATTCGTAGTCTTCTTCGCTTCCTTATATGTTTGACATCTACAAGATAAAAGTTCAAACAAACATTCGTGAAGGAAGTAAAACAAGGTAACAGACATGGCCGAAAATCTCTCAACTTTTTCAGTTAAATCGACATTTAACGCAGAATTAATAAAAATTGGGTATCTTTTTGCAAGATTGTGTAGATGGAGATTATAATTCTTTAGTAGAATATTTATATATCGTTATTCGTATCTAAATAGCTAAATAGAAACTTATCTAAAGGTCTGTACACTTGACATC